CAATGGTGCCCCCCCACAGCCCATCGGAGACCCCCGATGGTGCACACCCACAGCCCATCGGAGACCCCCGATGGTGCACATCCACAGCCCATCGGAGACCCCCGATGGTGCACACCCACAGCCCATCGGAGACCTTCGATGGTGCACACCCACAGCCCATCGGACGCTCCCGGTGGTGCACACCCACAGCCCTGCTGAGCTCTCTTAGACTCAGGGCATTCTGAGGGGCTCCCACCCAGCACCCCCCTCAAGTCTCTCAGGCATGTCCCCTAGTGAGCGCCTTGCACACTTAACCCTATGTTGACACTGGCTTCTGGAGGGCCAAGACGAACACCCAATGTCTAGCGAAGAGCACGTCTCCACTCCACGCAAGCTATGGCCGTTCTCATCGTTACCCCAGTTCATTGGCAGCTGACACCTGGTGGCTGTGGTCAATATGGATGGATTCCAATTCCAGGGCCACCCTCTGCCACCGGCGTGACCTAATCATGAGACTTGAGTCCTCCTGGCGTGTGACCTCGGGGAACTAACGGTGGCGCACCTGGGTGGCGGCGAGAGCTGGGTGACACAGGCGAGTCCTCACCTCTGCACATGCCAGCCCATACTGTGTCCTGTCCCTGACTGTTCCTGGCCCTGCCTCTGCGGCTGTGGTTACAGACACACACATATGGCTGAAGTGCGCAGCTGCAGCCTGGGGCCCGTTTTCTCAGACTGACATGGGTGGGGATGTCCCCCACCTCTGTGGATGGGGCAGGGGAGGGGCCCCTGCTGTGTCAAATGCTCCCCTCCGACAGCTGTGTCAGCCCAGGCAGGGCGCCAGCTGCTCGGGGTCTCTCGTCATGTGGCAACAGCAGCAACCCTTTCGTTGCCTTCCTGACCTCACGGGGTTATGGCACGATTTTAAATGCTGCTAATGGAAGCATGAATGTCAGCTCGTGTGCTCTGGAAACTGTGACGCAATTGTGCAAGTGCCCTCCCACTCCAGGATCTGGGGCATGCACACACATGCCCAGTGTGATTTTCAAGCCACCAGGTCCAGGACTCGAACTGTGGTCAGCCATGTGGGACTCCAGCGACGTAACCGCTACACCATCTGCTGGTCCCACTTGTTCCATCCTCTTACTCCAGGTCAAAGTGGCTAAGGGCTGCCCATGGTGTGGTGATTAGGGCAGCCAGATCCTACGTGGCCAACTGTGTGGTTCGAGTCCCCGACTCGGCGGCTTGCAGGTGCATATGGGTGCAGGCCCAAAATCCTAAAAGGAGGAAGACATGGAGGAGGACTGCAGTATGGCACCCCCACGGGGGCGCGTCCTCCCTCTCCTCTCCCTCTCTGGCAAGTGCACATGCCCTCAGGCGATAAACGAGGAAAGAAGACGGCTCCCAGTGATAACAGTGACGACGGGGTGCCCCTGAGGAGGACGCCCCGCCACACGTGTCCACGTGTCATCAGAGAGTGAGATGCAACGTGCCCTTCCCAGGTGCCCTGTGTGCACATGCGGGGAGGGGCAGGCAGGCGGGGAGCAGGAGAGTCCCCCCGCGGAATGCCCTGGGCTGAGCACAACCCGGCATTTTGCGGCACTGGGGGCAGGTCCCACAACATGGCGGAGGGGGAATTCTTACCGTCCAGATAGAGACTTGATTTGATTTAAAGTAACAAGCATGACTGACGAGATGGCCCGACCGGCTCCCGAGTTCTGAAGCAGACGCCTACTCCCCGCACCGGCAAGCCAGCATCGCGGTAACTCCAGTTTAACAAACGTGGGGCCAGCAGATGGTTACGTTGCTGGAGTCCCACCTAGTTAGTCGTGGTTTGAGTCCTGGACTCAGCAGCTTAAAATTCAGGCCGGGCGTGTGTGTGTGTGTATGTGTGTGTGTGCATGCCCAAGACCCCGAGAGGAGAATGAAGAGGGGATTGTGGCATGACCAGTGATTTCTCACTTTCTGTCTCTGTCTCTCTGGTGAGCGCTCGTGCCATGTAGCAAAAATCTCTCTCTCAAAAAAATAAAGAGGGCTGGGGACACACCCAAACCCCTGACTGCAGGAAGGTTCTCTGCAGGGTCGGCGAGGCCTTCCTTCCACCTGCGTGTGTAGAATCCAGCTCCCAAACCAACAACTCTGGACAAGAAGCAAAATTCAGCCCCTCTCTGCCACCCCTGGGAGCCAACCAGGTCCAAAAAGTCCCTGCAAAGACTAAGGCCCTTTCCCTAAAGCCTGGGGTCCTGATGGTGTGGCCTCCCTGGGCACTGAACCTTTGCCCTCTGATTCCCCACGAGGGGGCACGGGCTGGATGGGGCTGGAGTAGATGCTCTCTCTGCTCAGGGGAGGGGCTGTGACGCCTCCCCCAGGAGAAGAAGAGCTGGCTGGCCCCTGGGCAGCCACATGGCACCAAGCACCTCCTGACCTTAGGCAGGCATGTCTGCCCCAAATACCAACCAGGGCTTTCACTGTGAGCCTGAGAGACCATGGAGTACTGTGGGAACACAAGGAGGGGTCGGGGGAAATCCAAGAAGGCTTTGTGGAGGAGGCAGAGGAGGAGGCAGCACTGCACCAAGTCTCAGGCATAATGCAGATGATGGAGAAGGGAGTTTGACTCAGTGAGGAGACTGGGATGGATTCAAGGATGGGCGCATTTGGTTTTTGGAAATGAAGCCTTGGGAAACGCCAGGATGGAAGTCGTTGAGAAAGCTGCCTGGCAGAGGCCACACACCGCGTGCAGGACTGGGCTGGGAGCCGGAGAGCAAAGACAAGACGCTGGCGTTTGGGAGTGGAGCTGGACCCTGGGGCCAGCTCAGGGGTGAGCAGAGACAGGCGTGGTCTGCGTCCGGCATCTACCGCCGGCGAAGGCCGCCTCCACCCCCTGGCTCTCAGAGACCCTGCCCTGTGCAAAGCGGGTCTATGAGCTCTTGGCCTTAACCCGCCCTCCCTCCTACTCAGCAGCCACTGTCACTTTCCCCAGGGGCAGGCTGAGGCCGGGAGCTCTGGACAACCCTCCCAAGGTGCCACAGCCTGAGCCGGACTGGAGCCCAGGTCTGCGAGCCTGGAACCCGAGATCTCAGCCCCCAAGGCCTGCCTCTCCAACCTTGCCGGCCTGAGGATTCCCGTTTCCGGCAGCCTGGCTGCCCACAGGGCGAGGGGTTCTCCCTGCTTTCCTGATGGGAAGATGAAGCTCCAGAGGGCATGGCACTGGCCCCAGCTACTGAGCGTCAGGGCTGGACTGGGACCCGCATCCCTGTCACCGCAGCACGCGGGCACTTGGGACGTGTTTAACTGAGCTGCGGTGCAGGGAGCACAAGGGAAACCTTAGACCCAGGGAGGAGGTCCTGTGGGCGGAGAGGCTTAGCTGATCCCTTTGGCCACACAGCACGAGGGCAAGAGTGAAAGGTATTCTTTCCTGTTGCAAAATAGGTTTTGAAATTTCAAAGCACGCAGGAAGTGAAGTGCGTCTGAGCCCCGTGGGAGAAAACAGAGTCGGGGCACCCAGGACTCCACTCTCCTCTGCCCGGACTGCCGGCCAGCTCCCTGGGGATCCCCTCACAGAACTGCGCCCCTGCATGCCTGGCCTCCTAGGGACCATGCTGGCCTGCACTTAAGCCAAACCCACCATCAGCAGGCAACGACCTGCCAGCAGAGGCTGGAAACTCAGCGATTGCACTGAGACAGCGAGCACACCTACAGGGCTGCGGTGCTCGTGGACAGAGAAGGTCCAGAGCCAGGGCTATGAGGAGGTGGGAGGCAGGAAGGGCTCGCAGGCAAGGGAGCACATGCGCACCCAGACCGAGTGACAGGGCATTCACGAGAGGCCACACACAGAGCCTTGGCACAAAACACTAGAAGCTCCTCTGCCTACAGGGGGAAAGTGTGAGCTTGGGAGGCGTGGCAGCGGGGGCAGCTGAGGCCGGAGAGCAGAGCACTTCTCAAGCCAGTTTGAGAAGTTTGGCTTTCCTTCGGTGGGCAATAGGGAGCCATGGCAGGTTTTAGAGGAGGAGAGTAAGATCCTGAGACCCGCACTGGGGTGTTCCCTGAGCGCTTGCCCTGATTTCTCACATACTTGCTCCTACCAGGCTGTGAGCCCCAAGCGCAGGGCGTGGCTCCTCCCTCTTGTCTTGGTGACACTTAAACTAAACATTGACTCTGAAAAGGTGACAGAAATTCTTAATTTTTACTATCCACCTCCCAAGAGGGCATGAAATAATTTGCAGTAAGGTCAGTTAAGACTTAACACCAAAAAAACAACACACGTAGGGACCACACATGACCTGCTTGGGTGACAGGTTTGCTACAGGAGAGGTTGTTCCCTTAAGAACGACCATTGTTGGGACTGGCCAGATGGCATAATGGTTACATTGGACTTCCACGTAGTCGAGTGCAGTTCGAGTTCCAGATCTCGGATGACTTAAAACTCACACAGGGCGCATGTGTGTGCATGCCCAAGATCCCGAGAGGAGAATGGAGGAGAAGGGATTGCGGCGTGGCCGTCCCCCCGGGGGGTGATTTCTTGCTTTCGGTCTCTCTGTCTCTCTCTGTCTTTCTGGCAAGCGCATGTCCCTTATAGCAAAAAAACCCCTCCAAAAAAAAAAAAAAAAGTAAAAAAGTAAAAAAAAAAAAAAAAAAGAAAAAAAGAAAAAAAAAAAAAAAAGTAATGCAGACCCCTGGGCCCCACCCTGACCTTTCTGACCAAATCTGTATTTTTTTAAAAAGTCCAGACTTGCAGACATATCACACTTTGCTTGACTGCCAGAGGGCACATGCATGAGACAGAAAGTGAGAAAGCACCACCCCCACCACCAGTGGGGCCTGGTCAGGCTGCAATCCTTCCAGTTCTCCATGGTGTTTTTCAAGTCACTGGGGCCAGGATTTGAACCCTTATCGTCCCTGTAGGCTCTGGCTTCCTCTGCACAATGCTTAACCACTGGGCTACAGAGCCAGCCCCACATCAAAATTAAGAGACAGGAAACCCAAGGTCTGATGAGAGGGGACATGGTCAAGGCCACCAGCCCTCCAAGGCCCCATGTCCGCTTACCTCTGTCTCCCGCAGCCTGGCCTCCAGGACCACACGGGGGCCCTGGGTGTTGTCATTGACCTGCAGCCGCTCCTGCACCGCCTTCATCCACTCCTGGGCGGCCTCCATGCTCCTGTCGAAGCCCTCCTGGGGCTGCTGAGTCATGGTACCTGCGCGGGCTGAAGGAAGGGGCACCTGAGGTCAGGTAGACAGCGGGAGGGCAGCAGGCAAGGAGAGGCCTGGGTAGGCTGACAACCGAGGACAGACGCCGGACAGCCCCACGCCCACCTAGCACCCTCTTGGCAATCCCAGTTGGGCCAGTGGCCAGAGGCGCACACACCTGTCAGCCAGCCCAGGTATGGGAAACAGGCAGGGAAGGAGAACAGGTCTGGCCTCTCGTATCCACCGAGTAGGGCAGCCAGCCCAGGCCACCAGGCTGGCAAAGATTCTCTTTGGCCTCTCGGCTTCCCTGTTCCCTTCCTCTCCCAGCTTGGGGCTCAGGGCAACTCTTCGCTGCCCCTTCAGGTCGTAGGCCCCCAGTACAGATCTGAAAACATGAAGTCTGGGGCTGGCCTCGTTGTCTAGTGGTTAAGGGAGCCAGATCACGTGGCCAGCCACAGTGACAATCCCAGCCCCAGTGGCTTAAAACCATACCAGGCACATGAGCACGCACGTCCCAAATCCCAACAGGATGGAGAAATGGAGAAGGGATTACAGAGTGACCACCATCCCAGGTGCACACTCTCTCTCCGCTTCTCCGCCTCTCTCTCTCTGTGTGTGTGAGCAATTAAAAATATGTAGTCCGAGAAGTTTTCCCCATAATGAATCTTGATTCAAATGGGTCAGAAGCCCCAACCTAAGGAACAGCATTTGGGGCATTGACCAAAGTGCCGTCAGCCCTGAGATGAATACCTTGAGCCGGGGCTGACCGCTTGCTGGGGTGTCAGATTGTCCCCTAGAAAGCACGTGCTGGAGGCCGAGTCCCCAGTGCCTCAGTGTCAGGAGTGGAGCCCAGTGGGAGGGGCTGGGCCACAAGGGCCTCCCCCTGGTGAATGGATCATGCCGACAGGAAGAGGGCTTGAGGGTCCACAGGTGGCATAATGCTTAGGGTGGCGGACCGCAACATAACTGACCATGGTTCAAGTCCTGGACCCAGCAGCTTAAAACTCACACTGGCGTATGTACGTGTGTGCCCACAATCCCAGGAAGAGAATGGAGGTGAAGAGATTGAGGCATGGCCATCTCCACCAGACTGGATCATGCCGACAGGAAGAGGGCTTGAGGGTCCACAGGTGGCATAATGCTTAGGGTGGCGGACCGCAACATAACTGACCATGGTTCAAGTCCTGGACCCAGCAGCTTAAAACTCACACTGGCGTATGTACGTGTGTGCCCACAATCCCAGGAAGAGAATGGAGGTGAAGAGATTGAGGCATGGCCATCTCCACCAGACGGCGATTTCTCACTTTCCTTCTCTCTGTCTCTCTGTCACTCTCCAGTGAGTACACATGCCCTATGCCCCCCCCAAATATATATATATATATATATATACACACACATATGTATATACACACACATAAATATGTATATACACACGCATATACACATATATACGTATGTATATAAGTGTGAGTGTGTATATATATATATGCTTGAGGCTGCAAGCTCAGCCTCTCCTTCTGGACCACGCGATGCCCTCCACCATGCTAGAAGGCCCTCCCTGCTCGGCCCTCCACCTTGGACGCCCCAGCCTGCAGAACTCGGAGACCGCATCTCTGCTGTTTCTGAACTGCCGGGGCTGTGGCGTCTGTCCTAGCAGCACAACGCAGACCAAAATGCCGTGTTAGCCCACGCGCTCCTACTGCGCGCCATCTTGAGCCCACAGGTGTCCCTAATGTGTCCCAACAAGGAGTCACCCACCCACCCCCGCCTCTGCTCAGCACTCCTGGCAGCCACTGCCAGGAAAGCGACTTAGCACTGGGGTTGAAACCCACTCCCGCTCCCGCCTCAGGCTACACCTGCCTGCTGGCACCGGCCATCCATTTAAATCCATCTCCTTTGCCAAACCGCCTGCTCTTCTGGGCTGTGGACCCAAGGTCTCAGGTTTACTCACTTGACTTTTTTCTTTCTTTCTTTCTGTTTTTAGGTTTTGTTTTGTTTTGTTTTTTAATTTTTATTTACTTATTTAGGCATGCGCAATTGCCGGAAAGAGACAGAGAGAAGGAAAGTGAGAAATGACCCCCCCCTCCAGGGGGATGGCCATGCCACAAACCCTCCTCCTCCGTTCTCCTGGGATTTTGGGCACTCACGCACATACACCCAGCATGAGCTGCGTCCAGATTTAAACTGTGGTCAGCCATGTGGGAGTCCAGTGCCTTAATCAGAATGCCACCTGGGGCCCCAACTCACTAGACTTTCTTAAACTCCCATTAAGCCCAAGCAAAACTCTTCCGTGTTCTCACTGTAGCTGTCCGCTTACAACAACTATAACCTGCTTTGGATTAAAGGTATTTATGCCGGCATTTTATGTGAAGGGATTGTGTCTGGCTTATCCTCCCATCTCCCACAATGCCTTGCACAGGGTTAAGCCCAAAGTTGTGGAGCCAGTCAGAAAACTCATCATGGAGTTCCTAAAAAAGGCAAACCAAAACAAAACTGGAAACAACCTGAACGCCTGGTAACGGAAGACTTGTCAAGTGCAGTACAGCACTTTCATGCTTGAGCATATTAGCCAGCCAACAAAGTTAGGTCAAATGAATCCATGAGGATTGGTCGGAAATAATAATACCCCCAAGTTGAGACAAAGCTATATATTTGCAGTCACAACTCTACAACTAATGAAAGCAAACAATACATCAACAACAAACCTGCGCTCATAGAAAAGCTGAGAAGTCGTGCCATCGTGGGGCCCCTGTGACTACATGGGGCTTGTGGGCAGAGGCCTAAGCCAGGCCCTGCCTGGCCCTTACGCTTATCCCAAGTGACTGTCAGGCGTCTTCCTGGTATGTGGGGGAGACACGGTGACCTTAGAAAGCACTTGGTTGAGGACAATTGTCTGTGGTTGATATTGAACTTCTTAAAAATTCTCCAGAAGGCACATGCGCTTGCCAGAGAGAGACAGAGACAAAGAGAGAGGAAGAGGGGGAGAGCACCCCTCCATGGGGCTTGGTCACACTGCAATCCCTTCTCCTCCATTTCCCAACCTGTCGAGATTTAGAGCACCCACGCACATGGGCCCAGCGTGTTTTTCTAGCTGCTGGGGCTGAGACTAGAACCGTGATTGGCCATGTAGGAACCAGCTCCTTTAACTGCTAGGCCAGGGGGTTAACCTGTGGTTAGAAGAGTTCTTCCCTTAGTTTTTGTTTTTACTAGGCTTGTTGTGAGTTTTCCTGAAATAGTAATCATTACAGTGAAAAAAATAAACAAAAAAACAAAAAGCACCTTTCCTTATCATTGGCTAAATGGTTGGCCCTTTCTCCTCAGCTCCTCAGTCATTGGTTGGCTGTTCACCAACCAGCATGGACTGGGGACCTGGGCAGCTCCCTGGGCCCTGCTCAGGGAAGAGGAGCCTTCCAGGAGAGCCGGAGGAAGACAAGGAACTAGACGGCCGGCAGAGGCGAGCTGGGCCACGCCAGCCCGCGGGATGGGCTCCACTGGGCATTGGCTGCGACTCAGGGCTCAGCCCCCGCGGGTTGTTTTCTTTCAGCGCTGTTTGGTTTTTTTTTCTGACAAGTCAATATGTTCCCCGCAGCCACTCCCTGTCTCTGAATGCTCTGTTTGCAAAGCACATCAGAAGGCGCAGGCGTTTAAATTGGTTCATTGTGGCTCTCTGTTGTCTAGAGTGACTTGACTGGTGGCCAAAAGCTCAGTTTTTATTTTTATAAAGGAAAGAATGGGAGGGACAGCAACGAGTCTCCTGGGGATGCAGATGGCGTGAGGGTGGGGAGGTGTTGTTCCAAACTCCAAAAGGCAGCGGGTGTCAGACAACCCTTCTCTTGGAAATGCCTAGGCCTGTGCAGATAGTCAGCAACCCGCTGGGAGGGCGAGGATCCCGGAGAAGGGCCGGGCCTCAGGACCTAACTGTGGGCTTGGCGAGGCAGCAGGCAGCATTCCGCATAGCCAGCCCTCTCCGGCCTGTTCTGCCAAACCGTTTCATTGCAATTCAGTGAAACTCAGGAATGAAGCTGCGCTGTGAGCCAGCCTGAGGCGGCGACCATGGCAGGCACGTCCCTGCCCTGCCATAAGGAGCTCACAGGAGGTGGGGAGGCTGCAGATACCCCGGGGCAGCTGCAGGAGGACGAACCACATGCCAGGCCTCGGGGCCTTGGCCTTTTCTGCAAATCCCTTCTCAGGATAAAGACTTTACATGTCCAGAAAAACATGCAAAGAATTACAAAGGAAGCCAGTCAAATTAAAACTTAGTTACCAGTCAGCCCCATGAAGCAGTGGTGAAAGGAGCCATTTTCCTTTATGACCTATTGTAGTTCAAATCCCAGCCCCAGTGGCTTGTATGCATGCTCAACATCCCACCCTTAGCATTTCTTTGATTTATTAAAGTTAAATCTGCTTTTCCTGAAATTAAAAAAAATATAGTGAAAAAGACATAATTAATGACCATAGTAAACTATATAGCATTAGCTAGGTGCTACCTTATAGTATATTCATTCTACTCAGAGTTTCATACCTTAAATCAGACATGTGTTCATAGGTGTGTGTGTGTCAGCAGAGCTTGCTACTGACAGTAGTTAGAGTATTTAAGAAATGCTGCGAATCAATAAAATGTGGGGGGAAGGAATGGAAAACAACTGTGGACACCTGAGATCGTGTAGGAGGAGGGTGGGAAATGGCAGACTGAGATATAGGGGGGGGGAATATATATATATATATATATACACACACACACACACACACATATATGAAACTAGAAATGGAAAATTATTGATGATAACATGTATGATTAAGCTACTATGCAGCATATTCTGGATGGGAAATCACATTTTTGTATGCTGTGACAATGCTCAGTAAATGAATGTAAATTAATTAAAAAAATAAATAAAAATAAGTAAGTACTAAAAAATCCCATCAGAATAGAGAAATGAAGGAGTACAGTGTAACCAAGCCCCCACTTGGGGGTGCATTCTGTCTGTCTGTCTCTGTCTCTCTGTCTTTAGAAAGTATA